CCAGAGGAGCCCCAAACTGATTGGCATTGGAGGAAAGGGAGCTTAACCCTTCTCTCCATGACACCTTCCAAGTGTATATGCTCCCTTTCAGACCAAGCAGTATCTTTAAGGGTAATTTACATCAGAGAATGGCATGGAAGATTGACAGGTGAAAAATCTGTCAAGTGCCCAGACCTAACCCTAACCCAGACCTTAAAAAAAACAACGATGATAAACCATTTGAAATGGAGAGACGGGCAGGGTACACTGGGCTAGCAAGCAGAAACCAGGAATGGCCAGCATTGGCTCAGCTGAGGAAAAGAAGCAGGATGGAGGCTGTGGTAAGAATTTCCAGAAATATAGAAGTGTTTGGGTTTAAAATGAACAAAATAGGTTATGAAATCCACATATGTATATCTGTATCTGCTCTTGCTAGCAAAACTGGCTTGACCTTTCTTTCACTGAAGATGTACTCAACATTCCATTCCCAGCCCCAGGGGTGTGTGAGACTTTACAATAAGCAGCTGGCTTGGGAAATGACAGAACCCCAATTTCCTAGGCAATAAGATATATGACCATTTGGGAAATTGGCAGACTTCAATCCATAGCTTTCATCTCTCTGATAACATCAAAGCACAGTTTATTCCCCTGATTGGGGAACACCTGGAAGAAACAATGACACTGTATCGATCCTGTGAACTTTTGTTGTGTGAGACCAAGGAAACAACATTTCCTGTAATACAATCTCAACTTCTAGGAAATAATTTTCAGATAGGCAATTTCCACCTCCAGATGCTAATTAACACCTGATATAGTCATCAAAAGAACTCCTTCTTTGATCTTGGGTATAAATAGTGGTCGGTTACAACAGACCCTCGTTGACTCTTGAAGGATCAGGGGAGAGGCTTATTTCTCCTGAGAATTCGGAGTCAACCCGAGAGCCTCTCGTTAGCTGCATGCCATGGGGTGGGGAAACTTTGCTTTGCATGTTTATTTTTCTGTGTATTATATCAACTGTTTAGGAAAATTCCGGCCCTTCGCGAAGGAGACAGTGGGGGATAAACTGTTTCTAGCGAAAGAAGACTCAGCTGTCACTTTGTATCAATAGCAGTACATATTTTTTTATTTTTCCACTGTCACTTATCCCGTGTGTATGTATGCGTGAAATAAACGCATTGAGTGTATGTGTATGCGTGAAATAAACGCATTGTGTGCGTGGGCGTGAAATAAACGCATTTTATTTTTATTTGGTTTGTTATTTTGCCTTTTTTACTTTGCTGGTTTACCATGGGTGGGACCTTTACTACGGTGTGTAGGCAGAGAGACCCATCTGCCTGAGGGGTTTGCTCTTGGGTGCGTATGAAGCCTCCTTTCCTGGAGATTATGGTTGGCCACTGTGGTTCCAGGATGGGATGCCTTACCTCCCCTTGGGGGAGGGGGGGAGAAATTGCCTTAGTTAATTTTTACTGTGGAAATTGGTTTTTTTGAGTTATAAACCCTGGCCCCACCTTGTGCAGCCTGCACAGGGTGCAGTTGGTTTACAATCTGGCCAGAGAAGTTCTTATGCAACCACTACACCTGTTGCAGCCAGCTCTGGCCTCATCCTGGAGGGTTCAGCTTCCTCCCTCCACCACGCACGGCGCTTGTGTGGTGAGGGGGGGAGTGCTGGACCTATGTCTTGCTGTTGGCCTAGCAAATTTAGTGAACCCAGACTCACTATTGAACTATCTCCAATAATTCCTCAGGGAATCACTCCCTTAGAAGATTAGTGTTTCAATTTTTTTCAATTCCAGCCTTGCATCTAGTACGGACTCTATTGCTTTCATAGTTGATGACTTTGAATTTTATTTCCTAACCAATTTTCATTTAGGTAATACTTGACCGGAAGAGTATTTGTGGGTTTCGTTTTGTTGTGAACATTTTTATTTAGATGTGTATAAGCAAGATTATTTGGCGGGATACTTAGCTATTTTCCTTGGTCTTTTATTTAAATGATGAAGTATTGTTAGGTGGTTTGGTAATCTTGGTATGTTTTCCCGTTTTTTCTTGAGCAACTAAACGTATTCCTTCTCTATTTTCCGTTGGAATCAAAATGGTCTCTAACTCCACAGCAGCTATCTAATGGCTTCCTGTAGCCAATTTTGTTTGGGTCCTTTAAAACCCAAAAATGGGGGATTGTAGTAAGAATTTCCAGAAATATAGAAGTGTTTGGGTTTAAAATGAACAAAATAGGTTATGAAATCCACATATGTATATCTGTATCTGCTCTTGCTAGCAAAACTGGCTTGACCTTTCTTTCACTGAAGATGTACTCAACATTCCATTCCCAGCCCCAGGGGTGTGTGAGACTTTACAATAAGCAGCTGGCTTGGGAAGTGACAGAACCCCAATAAAGATGTGTGGCCATTTGGACACCTGGCAAGATAA